ACCCCCTGCTCAAGCAGGAGACCCTAGACCATTTTATACAGGTGACTGCCCAGCCTCTTCTTAAAAACCTCCAGTGATGGAGCCGCCCCAACTTCCAGAGGGAAATTGCTCCCCTGGTTCATTGTTCTCCCGGTCAGGAAATTCCTCCTTAGTTCCGGGTTTCTTTCCTGGATTAGTTTCCACCCGTTGCTTCTTTGCTTGCCTTCTGGGGCTTTGGAGAAGAGCTTGACCCACCGCTCTTCTTTGGGGCAGCCCCTCAATTATGGGAAGGCTGCCACCGTGTCGCCCCTGGTCCTTCTTTTTACTAGACCTACCCTATTCCTGCACAAGACTCACACTGCGCTCTCAAAAGTCCCAAATGAGTTTTCCACCCTTGTTGAAAAATAATTCTGCAACTGGTCACCATCCAGATCAATTGGATTGCACATCTGCTGCCCAGCCAATCAAAGATGCCGGGACATCTTGGAGGGGGGGGGAGTTTAAGGAGATGACATTCAGCACACCTGAAGGCGGGAGAAGCCGACTTAGGTCAAGTTTCCCAGGGAATGGAGGGTTGTGTGGCCCTTCCCATCACGAGCTCCTCCTGCCGGGTGGAACATAAACCCTTTGCACCCCCCTTGCTCTCTCCCACCCCCGGCTGAATCAGCTCCACCCAAATCTTTCATGTTTTCTTTTCTCAGATTAATCCTGTCCCGGCCCAGACATGCCTCTGTTGATTTTTAGTAGTATTTCTGCATTGAACATGTTCCTAGGCATGCCCCGGAATAAACAACACGGAACCCCGAACAGGCAAAAAAGGAAAAGAAATAAATAAATTGAGAAAAGTTAAGCAACAGCAGGTTGCCTACAAATCCTGCACCCCATGAGAAATAACAAGAGAGAGCGGAGGCTGTAAGTGCTAATGTAGAAATCCAGTGTTAGAAATAGTAACCAAATTTAAATACACTTCATTGCACACAGTTGTTGTCTATGACAATCTTCAGCCAACGCCAATTTTAAAATTCTGGTTTTACCCGTGGAAGGTTTATTCTGTCCTCCCTTCAGAGAAGGGTTCCCTCTGGGTCAGCCCCCCTGGGCTAAGGCAGGCAGGGGCAGCCCAGGTCTAAACTGCGTCCATGGGTTAGTTACTTGCAGAAAATTCCCAGCATTGCTAGGAAAATGCAGGATAAGATTTCAAAACATCGGATAGTTGCACATTTCTTTGCTACAGGGAGAAATGAAAAGCCGGTGCTCTGTATTATTTTTAGATTTGTATCTTGCTGCAAGCAGAACAAACAGTAATTTTGCGGTTAACTGTTTTATCCTTTGATCTCTCTTATCTGCAATGTTGATGTCTAGGCAAGTTAGGGAAGAGTCTCCATCTTCTTTAGGATGCTTCAGCAGGAGGTTGGCGGGGGGGGGGGGGGGGGAAGGGGGGGAGGGTCGTTTTGGTACGTTGACCTGGAAGAGTGAACCGGAGCTGGCAGGGACGTCTGCAGGTGGCCTGGCCTCCCCACTCCTGGGAAAGAGCCCCACGGCCAAGAGGATGTCCCAAAACAAGCCATTATCTGCTCACCTCTCAACTGGCAGAAATGCTCCACGTTGTTGGGTCACCTGCCTTTCCGATGTGATCAGACGTGTCCCAACAACGCTCCCTCCCTTCCCACCCAACCTGGGGCTGGCAAAGGAGAGACGGAAGTTGCTCTTCGCCAGTTATGCCCAACTGTTGGAAGGATGATGGTGGCTCTGCAGACCAGATCAGCCTCCCAGATCTGGGCAAGAGGAAGCTGGACACCTTTGAGGCAGCACCGCGCTCGTCTTTTCTTTGCTGCCACTAATGGCTGTCTGGATTTTTCCCAGCCAGAAATGGTTGGTGTGTGGCTTGGGAGTGTGCAGGAAGAGAGCCAAAAGCTCTACCTAGCTTCCCCCAAACTGGCATCCTCCAGGTGTGCTGGGCTGCGGTCCCTCTTAGGCCCAGCAAGAAGAGCAGCACCAGGCTGAGGGGAAGATTCCTGCTTGTGCCAGGTTTCCCCTCCAGGCCAGCCAGGTCTTTGGGGAGGCCTCTCAGGCCAGGTGAGAATCTGGAGCGCTCCTGCTGCTCACAGGGGGCCTTGTACAACGATACAGGACACCAGGGAAATCGAGACAGGGTTTGGCCATCCTCCGTCACACAGACAGACATCCCAATAAGCCTGGATTTATAGTGTATGGGTTCCACACCTTGACAAGGTGTGTATGCCCTTGAACCTCACCTGCTCCCGGGGCCTGGATAGGCAAGCACACCTGGCTGGGAAAGCTGAAGGCAGGAGTGCAAAGACGGTGCTCAGCATCCTCTTCCTTCTGCTGCGATTAAGTGGAGACCCTCTTGAAGGATGCGGCATTTTGCAAACTGGTGGACCAGATTTAGTTTTAATCTTACTTGGTTTCTACTTGTTTTGTTTTTTTGAAGAGGGAGGGAGAAAACCCTGCAGGTTCTCCCTGGCCTGGAGGGGAAGTTGTCCAAAGATCTGCTGATGATCTTTATTTTATGGGGGTGGGGCTGCAGGGAAGAAAAGGGCCCCAGACCCGCCAGCTGCAACGTCGGAAAAGGCAGCGTTGCCACCAGAAGCAGCCAGAGTTCTTACAGGAGCGTCCGAGAGGCCTGGCTGGCTGGAGGCTGAGGTCGTGGCTGGGGCTCTGCTTTGGCTTCCCTGTTCCAGACATCATATTTCCAGAGGCGGCTCCCCCCCCCCCCACCCCCCCCCCCCCCCCGGCTTCGCTTGTTGGAGCTTTGGCTGGACCTTTGCAAGACTGGGCACCTTTGTGGCCAAGAACATAAGAAGAGAGCCCTTAGGGATGGAGGGTCTTTGCCTGCAAACAGGTGACCTTTGGCCAAGGGACAGGGTCGCCCAGGTGCCCCCTTCATGCCCCCTCTTCCCATGTCAGCCGTCATGTCCCCGAGCCATCCCCTTCTGCCGCCAGGGCCCTTTGCCCGGCAGCCTTCTTGCCCACGAGTCTGCGGGTCTCGTCCTCTTCTGATCAAGGCAGGCGTTTTGTGGTCCTGGCCCGTGTGGGCCCATTCATCAAGAGGTCGTGACCTGGATGTGAAATGGCTGCTATCGGGGCCACGTTCTCAGGGGGGAGTCTTTCACTTGCACGGAAGGAGCCTCTTCCTAGCCTGGTGCCTCCATGGGGACCGAGCGGCTCTGCTGGGAGCCTGTCAGGCAGGAGCCCTTCGGCCTCTCGGATGGCGCCTTCTGGAAAGGCCCCGGCGGCTTCTGGCTGCTCCATGGGTGTGTTTTCCCTGCCAGGGAGGTGGAGAAAGGCCGGTGGTGGAAATTCCTACCTCAGTTGCCAAAATAACTGGGCCATCCTTTGGTGCCCTGCAGCGAGCCTGGTGGGAGGGGCCCTTGTTTGCTGTGCTAAAATGCCTGGCTGGGGCCTCCGGTGGCCTGGGGGTCCCCTTGTCCCTGCAGTAAAGGGGGGGACCCCTCTGTAAGGGGTGCCCAGTGAGTCTGGCCAGTCGAAGAGGCTCAGGAACCCCCCCCCCATTTCTTACTGGTTCCAGTGGCACTTCCATCCACCTGTGTTGAAATGCCCCGCAGGTGATTGGCCTCTGTTGCCCGCAGTCAGCCAAAGGAAAGGGCTGTGGTGGGGAAGCCCCCGTCTCTCGGAGGTGCTTGTCCTGGGAGCCCAGGAAGTCTTGGCTTTTGCTTCAAGAGTCTCCGGGATCCAGTGGATTCCAATCCTGCAGCCGGATCCTGGGCTGGGTCAGGAAATGCCCGTCCTCCTCTGGCTAAGCTCCTTTCCAAGAAGAGGCCAAGAGGCCGGCCGAGGTCTCCTCTGTGGGGAAGCCGCCTTTGGGCTGACCGGCCCAGACCCGGGGGTGGGACTGGCCCGTGGGGGGGGTGTGTGTGTCTGTGAAGCCCCGGCGTCTCTCTACCAGCCAAAGGTCGGAAAGGGGCCAGCCGGGGAAAGCCGCGCTCCGCTCCTCCGAAGTCCCCTGAAAGAGGCACGGGGCTCCCCAGAAGGCCGGCGGGCGGCCTGCCCAGCGCCGCCTGAACAGCTGCCTGACTGTCCCAGCCGCCACGACGCGGCCTTTCCCTTCGCGGGAGGGGCGGCCGGGGGTGCGGCGCCCCCCGAGCAAAGGCGCCCCTTCCGGCCGGCGCCGAGAGAGCCCCGGGAAGCGCTCAGCTTCCTCCTCCGCCGCCGCCCCTGAGCGCCGGCCCGGCCTGCTGGCGGCTCCCCCAGCCCGCCGCCTTTTCCCCTCCTCCTTCCCCACCCAGCCGGGCTCCTGACACGGCCGGCCCAGGAGGCGGCAGACCGAGCAGCGACTCCGCGCGCGCAGCAGCCCCGCCGCTCCCTGCCCGGGCCAGCAGCACCCAGCGGCCGTGAGTGGGGCGCCGGCGGGCGAGGGGGCGGGCGGCCGAAGGGGCCGGAGAAACCGGGCTGCAGAGGAGCGACCGGAGCTCCGGCCGCGCGCCGGACTCCGAAGCCACCGCTGCGGGCTCGGCACGGCAGAAGCGCCGGCAAGCGGGGCCGGGAGGCGAGCGATGCCGCCGCTGCCGTCGCGCCGGGCGGCGGGGCTGGGACGCGGCGATCCCGGGCGCCGGAGCGCGGCTGGAGTCGGGGAGCGCCCCGCGGGACGGGACGGGACGGGGGGCGCTGGCTGGGGGCCGCTCTTGGCCGCCCTCGATGGAGCCCCCTCGGCGGGGCAGGGCGCCAGCCGGGAAGGACGGCCCGCCGATACCCGGAGCGGCCTCGCTGGGCGGCCTCTTTGCGTTGCGCAGCCGAAGGTGGCCGGAGCGGGACGGTCCCTCCCGGGGCTCTTTGGCCTCCTGGCGAGAGTCCCTTCCAGCCGCCCGCGAAGCGTCGCCCGGGGGTCTCTCGTGCCTCCCACGCATCCCCGCCCTGGCCCCGGGACGCCTCCCTTGCTTCCAAGGAATTGGGGGGAGGGAGGGATTGCCGACGCTCCTCGGCGCCGGGGAGGGGGGGGGGGGGGGGGGGGGGGGGGGGGGGGGCGTCGGTGAAGACCCTCTAGCCAGACCGCGCCTCGGCACGGAGGACCCTGCAGGGGGTGCAATGGGTTGTCCTGTCTGCAAAATGCATCTGGAGGCTACCCGAGCTTGGAGTGCAGACGTTTGAATGGTTGTGGGCCGAGGACGGGCCGAAGGGTTTGGCTGAAGAGACTCTCTTGCATTCCCACCCAGAAAACAGGAGTTGTGGCAGGTACCTGTAACAGGTGCCCAGGTAAGGGAGACCCAGAGGGGTGTGTTTTGCCTTTTCCCTTCTAATCCTGGAGGCTTTTTGGGCATCGGGCTAGTTGGTCAGTTTGGGAAACCTTTTCCATGGCAGGGAAGGTTCGGTTTAGCAGCTGAATCCTATTGCTTTGCAAACCACGATGAACAGTGCAGTGTGTTTTGTGAATCCTGCTACATGTTTGTTCTGTGCATAATAGTTTGCATAATATCGGAGAAGGAAAAGTGTCACTAAGAACAATGAGATGAATAGCGAGGATTTCCGTACATGTGTGCATGCAGGTAGATGTGTGTGAATGGGGAAGCCACTGTGCCCTGCGCCTCTTCTGGAGCAGAGCTTGGTTGTCAGAAGCGGTCCAGGGGTTCAGCCTTGCCCCACCTCCCATGTAACCAGGTGCATCCAGGAGCCTCTTCCTTTGCCCGAGCCCCACCTGGCAGCATCTTGACATGCTCTGCATCTGGCTTCCCATCCTTACCTAAATGGGGGGGGGGGGAAGGGGGGGGAAATGGCCTCCTGGTCCTCCCATGTGATTGGCCTTTTCTGAAGACCCTCCCCACCTCACCTTTAAGGGGAACCCCAGAGGGGGATGACACAAGGACTCTGGAGCTGAGAAGTAGTGGGGAGATGCCCAGGTCAACCCTGACTTCTGCCAGGGGGTGAGTCCAGGGGGCAAGGTGGGTGTGGCTGAGGGCCATCTGAGGTGGCTTGGTTGCCCTCCCGCTAGGAACCCCTTGGACTGAGGCAGGCAGCTGGACGGCCTCCAGTCAAGTGGTGGGATTCAAATGTTTTTCACTACCGGTTCTGTGGGCGTGGCTTGAAGGGCGTGGCAGGGGAAGGAGACTGTAAAATCTCCATTCCCACCCCACTCCTGGGGGAAGGGGACCATCGGTTCTCCGAATTACGCAAAATTTCAGCCACCGGTTCTCCCGACCTGGTCAGAACCTGCTGAAGGCCACCTCTGCCGCCAGTCCTGCTGACCTTCTGATCCTAAAAGGGGCCGCTGGGACAGTGAAGGGGAAGGGAGAGAGGCACCATTGCTTCTCCTGAACCTCTGCGGGCCTCTCAGTCCCTCCTTCCCCAGGGACCAGCCAGTAGGCAGTTGGGAAGCTGGGCATTTGGGGCCCCCAGGAAGGTGGCTCCTGCTCTGGATCACCTAGAATGGACCCAGAATCCCAGTGAAGGGTCACCTGGCCCGACCCCTGGCCTCCGTTCTGCTCCCACAAAGCAACTGGAATACCTGCTGCTTGAGTACGTTGACAAGAGAGCTCTCAAAACTACTTTGTCATATTTTTTTCCCCATTTTGCATTCCTGCCTGTTTTCTCTGCATTGCTTTGATTGGTAGATCATCGCTTGCAAGCTTTCCAAGAGCATCTGGCCGGCTGCTCTTGGAAACGGCTTCTTTTCCTTTGGAACGATTTTGCTTCTTCAAATAAAACCGCTCAGATTCAGTGGATCAGGCCAGGGCATAGATCTCAGGCGATCAATCAATCCAGTCAGGGTGAACTAAGCTGGCCTGGATGTGGGCGTGGCGCACTGGGCAAACCGGCTCTTGTAGTCTGTCAGTGGAGATGCAGGTGTGTTTGAAGATTTGTTTCAAGCGTTGTAAGGTTTTATTACACTGAGTAACGTCCCTCTTTCCACGGCCCAGCGCAGATAAAACAATGAGCAACAGGTTCATGTCAGATGAAGCAGGTGGGCAGCCAGAAGACGTAACCGAACCAGAGAACCCTGTTTCCTCCCAAGTTGGCTTGCTGCCCTTGTTGCTGGCAGGGCTTCTTGTGACTTCAGGGATCCTGACTTCATGTTCTCCTCTGGCCACTCCCTGGCTGGGCAAACAGACGTTTGTCAGGCATGGCTCCCGACGGAGGGAAAGGCATTCTGGGACTGACCATGGGCCGGATTGCTCTCCAGGCAGCCCACCCGCCAATATGGTTCAGGAAGGCTTGGCTAGAAAAGCCCTCCTTTCACCAGATGCCCTTTCGGTGTGGCCACACAGACCGGGCATTGTGAGGAGGAGAGTTCTGGCTCTCTCCCCCTCCCCCGCCACTTCCTCCCTTCTGCCCTGGAAGCTCTCCGTTGCAGGTCCTGTCCTTTGACCCCAGAGGTGACGCTTGGCCCAGGGCAGCACATGGCATCCTCAGGCTGGATCTTCCCAGTCTCAGCCTCTTCCTGTTCTTAGCCAAGTGGCGGTTCAATCCTCCCCTGCCCTTCCTCAGAGGGGGAGGCCAATCGGTGCCTCCTCTGCAGGGCTCCTCCTTGGCACCACGAGGGACCAAACGGACACCGAGAAGAGGTCAACCCAGGCTCCAAACTTCCTTTTCCACAGAAGAAGGAAACCCCTTCTTTCCCTGGGCAGGGACCCAGATCGTGCCAAGTCCTCGGCACATAACCCGTGTTCCTGGGAGACCAACCCAGGACCCGCATGAAAGGCAGCTGTGGCCGCCTGAGCCTCAGCTCCTCTTAAAGCAGCCCCTCCCGAATCCTCAGGCGTGGCCCCAGAGCTGCTACACCCAGTTGTAGATCTTTTAATATGACAGCAGGGAGGGAGGGAGGGAGGGAGGGAGCAGGTGAGTAATTCTGCTAAATGCACCCCAGGAGCCTTCGTGTTGTCCTGCTCCGCCCTGAAAGGCCCCCCTGAGCAAAGCTGCAGGCCTTGTTCTGGATGGAGGCTGGACCCTCCAAGACAAACAGACGCAGAGGCGGCGTTTCAGGGCCACAGATGAGGGCAGGCGCCACCCTGGAAGACCATTCAAGAGCTCCAAGGTTTCAAGATTAAACAAGGTCAGCAAATAAAGGAGCAGAGTACGGAGGGAGCCTGCAGAGACAGATCTTTAAAATCTCCTTGAGGGCCAGCAGAGAGGAGTCCGTGGGCGTGTTCACCGGGGCCAAAGCCTCGTCTTCTTCTATTAACTGCCCCCTCCGGCTCCAGCTCCGGAAGATGCCCTCAGAGGCCCCCAGGCGCTCCCAATGCCTCCTTGGCCTTACCCCCAGCCCCTCCCTCGCTGGAGGAAGGCGCAGGTAGAGCTGCCTCTCTTGAGAGGCCCACCCGTGGTATAGAGTCAGGTATTCTCCAGCCATTAAATTCCACCCCCCCCCCCAAAAAAACCTTCAAGATATCGGCTCCTTTGCGACCATCCCACGGAGTCCACTATGGTTAAGTGGGTATTTATAAAAAGAGCCGTGGTGGCGCAGTGGTGAGAAGGCAGCATTGCAGGCTGACTCTGCATTCCCACTGCCAGCAGTTCGATCCTGAGCGGCTCAAGGTTGACTCACCCTTCTGTCGTTCCGAGGTTGGTAAAATGAGGACCCAGATCATTGTGGGCAAGAGGCTGGCTCTGTAAACTGCTTAGAGGGGGCTGTAAAGCACTGCGAAGCGGGATATAAATCTATTGCTAAGTGCTGTTTGCAAAGGGAAGAGGGGGCTTCCTTTGTGCACTGCAAATGCTCAGATGCAGAGAGAGAGGGAGGGAGGGAGGGAGGGAGAGAGAGGGGGGGGGGGAGAGGGGGGGTTGGGAGGGGATCGGCCCCCAGGGAAAAAAAAGGGGGTGTCGGGTTTTTGGGGGTGTGACCCCCCCCCCCCCCCCCCCGTGGTCTTACTGTACCTGTGAGGAAAGTGAGGGAAACGTTCAACTTCATTGAATTTAGAGGAGCCCACTAGTCCCTGTGATGCTTTCATGGCTTCCTGGGTTGAGGAGATGGTGAGGAAAAGGGCTTTTCCGCCGCAGCCACCACCCTTCCAGGTCCAGGCGTAGCTTTTTGAACTGGTAGATCAAGCTTTTCCACTCTGAGGTAAGAGCTTTTGCTTCTTCGAAGGAGAAGATCAGGCCCAACTGCATCGCCAGAGTTCTTCTAAATCCGTGTTTCTCAGGCTTGGCAACTTCCAGGCGTGTCTTTCAGAAGGCAGCCTTGCTCCGTGCAAACCGTGGCCTTGTTCTGTGGAAGTGAAGGGAGCGGAAACAGGCACCGGCTTGGCTAAAGTAGCAGAAGTCTTCAAGAGGACTTGCCTGGCATAATTCCGCTCTCTTTTCTCTTTGTGTCCAAGCAGCGTCGCTTTATTCTCATCCTCACCTCGGAACCGGCCCCCGCTCCTGCTCCACCATGCTGATCCTCCTGGCCTTCATCATCCTCTTCCACATCGTTTCGGCTGCGCTTCTGTTCATCTCCACAATCGACAACGTGAGTTGCCAGGGAAGCTTCCTGCCTGGGGTCTGGTTCCAGGGTCAAAGGGGATTTCCTCTGAACAAGGAGAGCAACTTTTACCGGCCTCTTCTAATCTGGGAGGACACGGACCGGCGTAGCTCAGCCTTGGCCCCTTGGAAACGTGTGGACTTCCACCCCCAGGAGCCCCCAAGCTGGGAGCTGAAGTGCACCCATCTTTGAGCAGCCAAGGTTGAGAAAGGTGGCTCCAGGTGCTGCTGACCTAAACAAGGAAAAACACCCGCCCACCCATGCACCACGACTCCCACCTGGGGTGGGGGGGGATGCCAATTCAGCTGAGCAAAGCAGCTGGGAGTCTTTATGCCAGTATGCGGGTCGAATCGAACAGAGGAGGGACCGAAGTCCGCCCTGATCTCTGAAGTATCAGCTATCCCAGGAGTCAGGTCGCTCTCTGTCTGTCTCGATCTCCGGTCGTCAATCTATGGGCTGTTATGGTTGTGTTTTCGCCTGAGCTGAGTTTGGCCTGAATGGAGCTCAAATGCTGACCTCATCAGCTGAAACAAAACACCACCTTGGTTTGTGTGCGTGTGTACACACACACACACGCACACACACACACACACACACACACACGGAGCTACTTCCTGACTCTTTTCTTAGACATATTTACAAAGCTCTCTCTCCGCGTATCCACAGACGAGGTCAGTAGGCAATAACTGCCAGCCGCAAAGGCTCCTTGAAAATCCATGGCCTGTGTGTCATAACAAAGGCCAGTTCCTGGTCTCCTGAGTAGAGGTCCCTTCACTGTCTGTGTGTCCTTTTTGCCTTCCTTTTCAGGCCTGGTGGGTGGGGGATGGCTTCTTCACGGACATCTGGCACCAGTGCCTCAACGGGACGAACTGTACCGCCCTGGATAATTCCCTTCCAGGTGAGTCTCCAGGAGGACTTTCCCCGCCTGCCGGGGGTGGGAACAGGCGGACACTCCAACGGCACCCTTGGAGGGCCTCCTGCCTCTCTCCCTCCCCAGCCCCAAAGTCTTCTACCTGGCCCGTGGGTGCCAAATGTCAGGGCGTCATGGCATTCAGCATTTTCCCAACCGCTCAGAAATACGTTGGGTTCCTGGGGCTGTGGTGGCTCAGTGGTTAAAGATGCCGAGCCTGTCGGCTGACAGTCCGGCTTCAGGTCCTGAGTGCTGCTAACAGGGTGAGCTCCAGTTTCTGGTCGCAGCATGCAAATGCAAGTAGATAAATAGGTACCACTTCAGTGGGAAGGCAGCAGTGTTCTGTGTGCCTTGCTGGCCACATGGCCACAGAAGCAACTTTGGACAGCGCAGGCTCCCTCGGCCAAACAACGGAGATGAGCTCTGTCCCTTCAGGTCAGACATGAAAACCTCTAGATTATGTTACTGGCTGCCTTGATGCTGCCTCAGAGAAGTAAGCTGTTTGTAGCCCTGTCTGCTCCCCCAGGGCCGTCTGGGGCGCCGGCCCCAACCGGAAGCCCCTTCCTCTGGGATTTCCCCCTCCTTGAGGAGTGGGGGCCACCGCCAGGGAAGCCGGGGCGCTTTGCCAAGGCGCTTGGGCAGAGAAGAGGAGGAAGGGAGCGGCCCACAGCTGCCCGATCCAGAAAGTTCCTTGCAGTGGAAGCCGGCTGATTTTCCTGTGGAGGAAATCGAGGATGGGGAGCTGGCGAGGGAGCCGGGCTTCTTTTGTTGACTTTCGGCATGGAATTGGCACGAGGACGTTTCAGGCAGGAAGCGGGTGGGCCGGCAGGCGGGAAGGCCAGTGGAAAATGAGCTTGGGCAGGGGAGGCCCCCGAGGTGCTGCTGCGGCTGCTGCTGCTCTCCGGAACAAGGAGGGGGCTCGCCGAGGCCTTTGAAGCTTCTCCAGCACTGGGCCTTAAGCCACCAATCCTGGCTTACAAGCCACGGCATCTTGGGCTGCACAATCTGGCAGGGCTGCCAACTTTCAGACCTGGGAACTTCAAGTCCCAGGATTCCCCAGTTCTGAAAAGGTTGCGAAGGTTGGAGGCGCCTGCTCTAGGCCTTCAGGATGGCCGGGGAATTCTGGGAATTGAAGTCCCCAGGGCTTAAAGCTGCCAAGGTGTTCGCCCCGGGGGTGACCTGCCTCGACGCGCCTTTTAATTCTCCCCCCTCCAGAATACGCGTCTATCCAGACCGTCCAAGCCACGATGGTCCTGTCCACGATTCTTTGCTGCGTGGCCTTTTTCGTCTTCGTCCTGCAGCTCTTCCGCCTGAAGCAAGGAGAGCGGTTTGTGCTGACCTCCGTCATCCAGCTCTTGTCCTGTGAGTATCCCGGCTCCGAAGCCTCCTTCCCCAGAACCAGACCGACGTTTTTAAGGGGATTGCTAAACCTGGTTGGGGGGGAGCGTCCCTTCCCCCTTCATCGTGGTTTGCTGGGGGAGGCAGCGCCAGAGACACGACTGTCCGTGAAGCCTCCTCGCTTGGGCCAAAGTCGCCTGGCAAGGAACAGGGTGGTCCTCGACTTACGGCCGTTTGTTTAGTGACTGTTCAAAGTTACAACCACACAAAGCGACTTAAGACCAGTCCTTGCAATCCATGGTCACGTGAGCCAAACGGACTAGCAGAGTCCATGAGGGAAACCAGATTTGCTTAGCAACCACTGAACAATTGTGGCCAAACAGGTGGTAAAATCGGGCACCGCTCACTGAGCAAGGAACTCCGGTCGCACTCCTGGTCGTAAGTCAAGGACGGCTCCTGCTGTCGGCCTGGAGTTTGGGCCTTGATGCTAAGCAGGCTCCCTCTGCCTCTCGCCCCCAGGCCTCTGCGTGATGATTGGGGCCTCCGTCTACACCGACCGGCGTGCGGAGCTGCACCGGGCCCCCCTCTACGGCCGCTTTGAGGTGGAGGGTGGCCGCTTCGGCTACTCCTACATCCTGGCCTGGGTGGCCTTCGCCTTCACGCTGCTCAGTGGCCTCATGTACCTCATCCTGAGGAAGCGCAAATAAAGCCCCCCCCCCGGCTCCCCCCCCTCGGAGCTCTCCTTGAAGCGCTGGCATTCCAGGCCCCCCTTTGTGTAAATAGAAGCGTTTGCCGTACAGCCACGCTTGCCCCCCCCCACATCCTTGGTGTGGCATCACAAGGCCGCCGGGAGGGCCGAAGAGGAGAGAGAAGTGGGGCACGGGGGGGGGGGTCTGCTTGGGACCAGCAGTGTGCAACCGATGCCAGCCTCTTTAGCCCAGGCTCCCTTTTACGCCACAGGAAGGGGGGGGCTCCTCACGGCCCACATTGTCCCCCCCCAATTCTGTAAAGCCCCAAGAGCTGGCACCGTGCAGGCTGGCGCAACGGAGAGCCTCCGGGGTGCCAAGGGCCCCGCTCCCCCCCTGCCCCTCAATACGCTCCATGCAACAGCGGCTCCCAGTGGGGCGGCCCCTTTCGCCCTGCCCGGGGGGCACCCGGGGTCCCTTGCCCAAGACGAAGCGTCTCTCCTGGGCCATGCTGGTGCGCGTCCTGAGCTACCTCGCTGGGTGCCGCGTGGTCTCGATCCGCAGCCGGAGCGTCCTCCACCTTTGGCGCAGCTCGGCCTGAGGCGGCCCTGCAGGGGTTTGCCCATTGGTGCAGGACGAGGCCGGACATTGGCCTTCCCGTCCAAAGCGGAGGGGGGGAGGGGCAGGCCTTCAATGTGTCTGAAGGCCCCCCTTCCCCCCCCTCCCCCGCGCAGACAAGGGCAGACTTCAAAGCCGAGCAAGGTTGGGCTGGCGCTGGGGAGGAGAGCGATGCCCAGGCCCAGCAGAGGCCAGGGAGACCCTGGGGCGTCTTCGGCCAGAGGCAGCCCAGCCCTCCTCCTCCTTGGCTGCTGGCCTTGCTCCTCCCTGGCAGAAGAGCTGCCCCTTTTACCAGACCGTGACATCCGATCCCTGGCTAGCCAAAGAGGCTCCAGGGCTAACTGGCTGCTCTTATGGATGAGAAGAGGCAGCTCCACCTGCAGGAGTGACGGGTCTTTCCTGCTTTCCCAACAGCCCCTGCGTCAAACATGCAGGCGGCCTCCTTGGTTAGGGTCTCATTAAGCCAAGATTTGGAGTGAGTGGCTTTATCTGGACTAAAATGGCCACCGCAGCTGTGTAGGAAGACCCTTCCTGCTCGACGCAGCCTCGCCCCCTTTGGCCTTCCGTGCTTTTAAGGTAGCCTTTCATTCCTGCCGCTTCCTCCCTCCAGGATAACGATAACCCCTTGCCCACCCTCCGCCCGGCCCACGCCGGCTCCTTCCTTCAGGCTTCAAAAGTAAGTTTGTGCCACTGGTGAACCTTCGTTCAGAACAATTAGCTCTTCTGGGGAAGTTATCATTTGGATTTATGTTTAAACAAAACAGCACATGTACCCATGTAACCCTATTTGCCTTTATACTTCTGATCCCTTCGAAAGAAGCAAACAGGAAGCCTTCCTATCACCAGGCAACCCGGCCTTGTAAGTACAAAACAGCCCCTTTTAACCGAACGAAGCTCTTTAGGCTCCCCAAGTTTTCCAAGGGTTTGAGCAATTGGGGTTTCTCAGAGGAAAAATGTGTAGCTCAATTCTACCAACGGTGCCTTCGTCGTTTTGTATTTTATATACCTATTGAACTGAATTGTATATAGAAATAAAAGCTTACGACCAGTATCAGGCCGCCCTTTCATTCTGTTGGAGCTGCGAGGCAGACCGTGTTGTCTCGCGGATGGTTTGCATGCGAGCAGGAGGCAGCCTTTGCTTCCCTAGGACGCTTTTAAGGCATCCAGTCCTCCCCACAGCTGGGAAGAGGGGCTGGGAAAGGGGCCCCCTAGGCGGGAGAGGGTGTGTCGCGTGCCCCAGGCTTCCCGGAAGGAGCCCGAAAGGCAGCCCAGTGGCCCCAGCAGAAGACCCTCGGTTGGAGAGGCGGGGAGATGGGCATCGACCCCAGTTCTCCAGGAGAAGCACGTCTGCACCTTTTTAACCGGCAAGGAAGGACGCTTGGAATAAGCCGGCCCAGTTACGGCTAAATGCCCTCCAGGCAACAGATGCCACCGGGACCACCTCATTCCGAGGAAGCCTCACTGGCCACGAAAAGCAACTTTAAGATGTGTGGACTTCTCCCAGATTTCCAAAGCCAGCCAGCCAGCCAGATGGGGAATTCTGGGAGTTGAAGTCCACAGGCAATGTTGGGAAATGGTGCGCCAGGCCACAGCCAGCAAGACTCCGCTATATAGCCACTACTTCAGTAAGGCTGAGAAAGGGGGGAGGGGGGGGGGAAATGCTTCTGGATCGGAACACCCCACCCGTGACCTTTTACAAAATCAGGAAAATCCAACAGAAAAGGCACTTTATTTAGAAAAAATAATTTCTTTCTTTTGACCCACTTGGCTTTGGGGCAAAAGAGCCTCCATCTCTCCTTTCCCCTCTTGTAGGTGACGGGATGGAAGCAATACTGAAAGCAAAGTCCCCCCCCCCTCTTGGAGGTCTTGAGTCGGATCCTCCCCGCAGGTGAAGCGGGAGGAGAACCTTCCGTTTCTTCTCTCGGGAGGCATCGGCGTTGGGGGGGGGGGGGGCGTCTTCCCGGGAGCCTTTTCTCAGACCTTCCCCCACGGGAGGCCAACTGAGCCCCGGCTGGGGCGTTTTCGGCACGCTGAGCCGGGGAATCCATGCCCCTACGGAGCATCCGGGAAGAGGGCCGTCAGGCTGGGGAAGGGGTCCTGCCGCTCCCCGGAAGCCCCCGCTAGAGCGCTGAGACGGCCTGGACCTCGCAGAAGGGCCCGTGGCGCCCGTGGATGTCCCTGGACTGCATGGTGACGTAGCACCTGACGGAGCGGGGGAACTGGGAGAGCGAGCAGGCCATGGGCAGCGGGAGGGCCTTGATGACGCTGGTCCGCTTCCAGGCGGAGGTGGTGCCGCTGCCCACGTCCTCCAGGCACATGAAGAGGGAGAAGCTCTCGATGGGGGCGCACCGGGGGTCCACGTGGCTGATGGTCCACTGCAGAGCGATGCCCTTGGGCTGGTTCACCGGAGCCACCACCAGCTCCAGCTTCTGGGGGGGTGGAGTGTCCTGGAGGCCCTCCCAGGGTGCTGGGTCCGGCTTAACGCTGGGCAAGGGAGGCAGGTGCGGGAACCTTGGGGGCACCTGGAGGAGGCAGGAGCTGCCGTTGGTGAGCAGGCAAGCGGAGGGGCTCCGAGCCGTGCAACGCCCCCCTCCCACAGAACAGGTTTGGGCGGGGGTGGGGCCGTCCCTGGAGGAGAGGGCAGAGGGGCAAGGACTTCCCTGCTCCCCCAGAACCCTCAGCGGGGGTTCCCCTTTTGGTTCAGCTGCAAAGGTTTGGCCCACCCCCCACCGGCCCCTCCTCCCTCCTGCTTCCCACCTTCCAAAAGAGCCCCCACCCCCTGCTTTGCCCAGAGGGGGAGGCAATGCCAAGCCCCGGAGGGAGCCTCTCCGCCTCTGCAGTCCTGGCAGAGCTCCCAGGGCAGCTGAAACCAGCCCCAGCGGCTCCTTTTGCTGCATGCTTCGCTCGGTGGAGACTCCCGGAGGACTCCAGGCCTCCCCCGCTCTTTTCGGGCCTGGCTGAGAACGGAACCGTGGCAGCAGGAAGCCCAGAAGGTTTGGGGCCAGTGACACCCCCCCCCAATGGTTTCCGAGCTCAGCCGCTGCTGCTCCTTCAGGATCCGTCCTGGGCCTTTCCCGCTGCAAGGCTGCCCCCTTGTGGCCAAGCGAATAAAGCTCATCCCTTCCATTGCAGGACTTCACTCCAGCGAAGTCAAATTCAGCGGGGGAAATACCCACTTTTTCTGTAGTGTCCCTCGCTGTATTGGGGGCCTTGGCTGTGCAGCCCATCCTGGCTGCGGGGGACCCGGGAGGTTCCGCAAGTGGGAGATTTCGTTCCAATACCTGATCCGGGGACTCTCTTGCAGGCTGCGGAAGGCTCTCCGGTGGCCGGCTTTCGTGGCCCAGGTGTCTGCTTCCTCCAACTTTTTTCTTCTCTTCTTTGGCCACAGATAAAAAGTGGTTAGCATTTTAAACATTGCGCTAAGCACCATTTCATTCGGGGGGGGCAGCCCCCCCCCCCCCATCAGCCGCTGGCTTCTCAATGGCAACAGCTACCAAAAAAGGCCCCTGAGCTTTGATCTGCTGCAGGGCAAACGAGGAAATCGCCCCCGAGCGCAACGCATTCCCCCCCCCCCGGGGGGGGGGGGGCAAGGTGGCCTCTCCTGTCTGTGCTCTGGGCTGCGGAAGAAACGCTCCTCCGGGGCCAACCACCCTCCCGGAGGCAGCCAGTCGGGTGCAGAGATTCCAGCGGAAGAATCGTTCTATTCCTCCAGAGACAACGGGGACAGGCTGAAGCAGCATTTCATTTGCACGTGGCTCTCTCGTTTACTCCGCTGCTTCGTGGAAAAGCAGGACGGAGCGGGAAGGCCACGCGGTTAAAACAACGACAAGCGCCACCGCTACGTCGCCCCGAAGGGATGGGGAAGCAGCCCGCTCACCTTGGTCAGGGTTGCTTTCTTCGTCTGTTAAGTCGATCACCAAGGCATCCTGTGACTGGGAGGAAAGGGGAAGGAAGAGACCAAGTGGGCCGTGGTGGTTTTGGTCTGCAAAAGGCCTCTTGCAACTTGTAGCCACCGACGGATTTCAGGAATAGGTTTGGCGGTTTAGAGATAGCAACGCCTCCAAAGCGCAGCAAAGACGCCCGGGGTTTTCTGGCTCTTTGGAAACCGCAGAGCAGGAGAGAGATCCGGGGAGGCCAAAGAGGAGAAAAATGCAGCAGAGCTTCAAAGCTGACCTTGGACTCGCTCACCTGGTTGCCTGGAGGATCTGGGTGCCCAGCAGCTGCTTTCGGGGGGTGAGCTGCAGGAATTGGACACAAGCAAGGGCGGTTTTAAAACCCCAATTTGGTTGGTTGGCTCAAGAAGGCAGAAGCTGGCACACGCCTGCCCCGGGCGCGAGTGGAGTCGGGTGTGTGTGTGTGTGTGTGTGTGTGTGTGTCTTCTAGGCACCCCGCCCCAGGCTGAGCAGCCTCCTGACTTTCCTGAGCAAGGCGGAGAAGCTCCCCTGGCCCAGACCTGCAAGAGACACCCCCCCCCCCCTTGCCAAGTTCTGCCCCCCGAGGGTGCCATCATCCCAGGTTGCGCAATCGCCCGTTATTTCCCTTCTCCACGGGGCAAAGAAGGAACGCACACCGGGCGGCCCCTCAAGAAAGACCCAACGGAGCCTCGCCACTTAATCTGCCCCCTCGGGTCCACTGAGATACACATCCCAGGTTCTGCGGCTGCTTCTTTCTCGACATTCGCTGGGTAGCTGAAAAGTGGGAGCCCCTCTGCGTACCTGGAACCCTGGCTGCCAGCACCCCCGAGCTTGGCTTCGGCGCCTCAACCCCAGGGACTGTGTCCGCACCGGAGGACCTGGTGGTGAAGAAGCAGCCAGGGTCATTCCCGGCGTCTACCAAGGCATTAGCGAGCAGACGGCCTCTCTCCACCCAAGACGACGCCCTGTAAATGCCAGGGCAGAGGGAGGGCAGAGGGAGGGAAGGGAGGCTCCCCGAGCAAACCGTCTCCGACGCAAGCGACCATTGCCTCCGGCCACTAACCTTTCCACAGTGGAAGACAAGACTTCGGTTGATGTTGGCTTTTGGGGTGGCTTGCCAGCTGCCGTGTTTGGAGGCAGGCTGGCCTCATGGAATATTTTATTCTGAGCATGTGCCCTGCGCTGCTTGGCCTGGGAAAGGAAGTGGAAAGAAGCATTTACTGTCCACGATGGGGAAAGACCTTCTGCCCAGCCTCAACCACCACACTGGCTCGCCCCCGGCAAGGACTGCTGCGGAAACGCTGCTTCTGAGGTCACCTCACTTTCCTAAGGAGCCCTAGAGAACCGGGCCCCAAAACCGGAGAGGCCCCTGGCCCTGGCGTGTCTCCCGCTACGTAGCCTTTTAGGGTCCATGCCGAACATCGGAGTCGAAGTGAGGCCAGCATTTCAGCCTCTGGTTGAAGTTTAGGAAACTAGGTTTTTCCTAAGCCAAAGCCATTTTCCCTCTGGTGCGAAAAGTAGCCCTTTCGGGGACCGGAGGGGAGCAATGGGAGCCCAGGACTGTATTCTGGGGTCCTTGGTCAAAGCTCCCAGAAACAAACCCGGCTGGGAGAGGAGGAGAGGCGGCATATTCCATCCAACGATAACAGGAACAAGGTCTTTATTGTGCGTCCATGACTTTTACCAAATGCAGGGCCTGGATTTTGAGGCAACGATGCCCCCAGCACTTCAAGGAAACCCCGTCATGATTAGACCCCATGGAGAGACCCCGAAACGGAGCAAGCCTTACCCTCTGGGATAATAGCGTCCTCTGGAACGAGATCACAGCGTCAATGTGTCTGTCCAGTCTGGAGATTTTCTTCTGCAAGAAAATGGATGGAGGGCCTTGCAGAATCGCTCCAGCTGCACCAGTGGACTACCTGCCTTGACCCCAGGGCCCGGCTGCTCCCATGCCCTGCACCAACGGCCCCAACCCTCCCCAGCTCTTGAATGGGGGCAGAGGGGCTTCTTGGGGGGGCCCTGTTGATCTGCATGCGAGAACCACAAAGACACGCCGCATAAGCTTGTGCCCGGTTCTGTTTGTGCCAGTCACTCACACACACACACACACACAGATATGACTTTAAAAGAAGCACCCCCTTACTACAATCTTAATAGCGATGCCTTCGTGTTTCCGCAGGCACTGCGTGCGATCAATTTTTTCATTTAAGTGTTGGAGACCCTGGTCTAATTCCCTCATCGAGGCCTCCAGCTGATTTCGAATCAAGCACTTGACCTACAGCAAGAAAAATACACAAACACGGACATTTTCACCTAAAAACCCACTGCAACCCCACCCCCAACACAACCAGTGAAAAACAGGCGGCCTTTTCAACAGCAGCCAAACCGGACAGTTCTCAACCCCCCCGTTTTCCCCACGTGAATCTCCCACCTTTGAGACATACGTGCATGATGGATGCGTTTATTGTGAAATGTTTCTAACTGTTGCCTTTCCAGCTGATTCCATCGAGCCCCCTCCCCAATCTCAGCATCCCTGCTGCTCAGCCCAAAGCGAGTCACAAAGGCCACCAAGGACCTGAAGGGCAGAGGGCCCGCTGCCCCCCACCCCGCCCCGGGGACTCTGGGCTGGCCCTCCGTGCTTGCTTTTAAAGCTGCCCGTCGGTGGGTTTCCAGAATGCAAAAGGGACAGAAATGGGGGGAATCGAGTTGATGCAACTTGTGCTTTGGAGGCAGAGGATGATGTTTCTACCCTTCTCCAGATGTTGTAACGAAGCCGTTGCTTCCCTGTGGCAGAATCGCAGGCAGATAAGCCAGGAAGGGCAGGTGGGGGCTGCTCTCGGTTGAACCTCCCTGGGATGAAGCTGGAGCGAGACCTCCCCCCCCGCCCCACTAATGCAATGCCCCATGCAGCATTACCTGTGGACTTTTCCAGCCCGAGGTGGGCCTGAAGCAAGCTATCAAGACAAAAAGAGCGGTTATGGACGGCTAACAGGTAGAGCTCCAACCACACAGAGCGACTGCCGACAAGTCTACAAGCCGCAGCCGCAGGACCTTTGGGCCCCGCGGGAAGCAGCGCTTGCGAGCGGCTCCTGTGCCAGACGGGCAGCGTTCGGAAGGGCCAACGTCCCTGCCAGCCGCAGGCCCCCTTACCTTTCCCAGCCCGGACTCCGCTCTCTCCACGGCTGGGGTGGTCCCCTCCGCGGGGTCCTCGGAGGCTTTGCTGCGCTTGGAGAGGCCTTCGTCTTCCTCGCTGTTGCTGGACATCGTCCTCTTCCTCTGACCGTCTCCTGCCAGGAAAGACGGGAGACCTTCACAGGAGGGATCGGGAAGGCGGGTCTGAGCCCAGCCAGGCCGTGCTAGGACTGACCTCCCGGCCTTTGCCTCTGGAAGGAGCCCCCTACCCTCTTGGCAAAGAGCAAGGGAGACGTTGCAATGACTGCGTCTCCACGTCTTATGGGAGGCTGCCGCTGGCCACCCCCCACCCCCAAAAGCAAAGGCAAGTGAGGATGGAGCGCTGCTATCCATATCAGGCACTGTGCAGGTGGCCCTTGACTCACGACCACAAGGAGCCCAAAATGTCTGCTGTTAAGTGAGACATTTGTTAAACGAGTTCTGCCCTCTCCCAACATGTGGCTCTTCAGGGGTTCGGGACCAGCCGCAGAAGAAAGGAGCAAGAGGCCCCAATCTTACCCAGGGACACTGTGGGCACCCCGTCTCTTTCAGGCACCCCGAAGCGGCTTTCTTCCCAGTGCAGTGCTGGGAGGGCCTGGCAGGCTGGTGTTTTGGCTGCTGCGTCTACGGCGGCGTTTTCGTGTGTGGAAGAGGCTCCCGGAAGCTGATCTAGAAGCTGCCCAGCCGGCCCCGATTCCAGGGATGCTTCGGCCCGCTTCAACGAGGGGGAGCCGGATTCCTTTTTGTACCAGTACCAAAGGATGTCCGGCAACGTGCTGTTATTCAAGAACTGCTTGACGTCTGGCGTCGGGAGGTGCTGGAGCATTTCCTGGGGGTCCTTGTAAATGCTGATTTCGGAGTTCACCAGCAAGCTGGGCAGGGGCTCCTTGGCCTGCAGCGGCTCCTGTCCGGCTGCAGCCTCCCTGCCGTGGAGCTCTTCCTGGGCCCCCGGACACAGCCCCCTGGCTCCCGCCGGCCTCCCTTGGCGCGCGGCCCCTTCTCCAGCCTGGACAGCCTTCATTTTGCTCAGGTGCTCCACCTGCTTCCGGCTGCTCACCGCCATCGTCTTCCTGGCCCGCAGCGGCTTCCGGATCTCCGTGCCTGGATTCATCCTCCTAGCTGAAAGACAGAAGGGCCCCCTCAGGATGACCCCTCCCCAGCCTGGGCCCTCAGAGGCGGATCCTGGGGTCCCATCGGCAGCCGGGGCCCCTGCGTCTCGGGGCCAGGCTCCCAACTGCAAGCAGCCAACGCCCAACTGCCGATGCCCAGAGGGGTCCCCGGGGGTCCTCCGCCTGGCCCTTCCCCTCCCCCGCCCGGCAAGGAGCAGCAGCCCCAGCAGCCCCGGGCTTCATTGCCAGGCCCTCCCGCCCCCCCCGTAACCGGGCAGGGGGCTTTGGCGGGCAACAGGGCCGGCGGTCGCCCTTCCAAGGGGCGGAGGGTCTCTGGGGCTGGACTAGATGACCCGCGGACCCCTCCGCCTCCCTTCGAGCGCCGGTGGCCTCCGGGGCCCGCCTTGCCGGCCGGGGGACCACTCAGGGCAAGCGGGGCCGGGGGGGGCGCGCGCCAGAAGGGCGGGGGGGCCCGGGCGGCTCTTCCCGACTGGGGGCGCCCCTCCCTGCTCGGAGGGGGGCACGGCCGTTCCCACCGGCCAGCCCAACTCACACGCGCTTCTGCGCACGCGCGCCGCCGCCGCCGCCGCCGCTCTGCCCGGAGTTGCCCCCCGCCGCCGCCGCCGCCGCCGCCCGGAACGCTGGCAATGCCGCCTGGGGAAGGGATGCCGCGCACGCGCAGAGCGAAGCGCCCGCTGGGGGCGGCCCGCGACGTCACTCCCCGGCTTCGGGCCTGGCGAGGAGGGTCCTACGGCCAACCGGGAGGCACTAGAGGCGGGACTTTCCCCCTCGCACCCAATCGGAAGCGCACCGGGGCCGGACCTTTGTCCCGATTGGCCGTGCTCGCCGAGCCGTGGTTTGTTCAACCCGGGTTCCCTCAGCGCCCTGCAAGCGAGGCACGTGTGAAGGCGGAGATGCGGGTTGGCGGCCGGTACGTGCGCCCCGACCCCAGGCGGTTTGCCAGGGAAAGGCTTCCCTTCCAAGGCGGCGCCTGCGGCAAAGGAGGGAGGGAGGGAGGGAGGGTTTCTCCGCCAGCCCCGCCTGGGCGTCCGTCGAGGGTCCCGGGAAGGAGCCCCTCTGGCCGGAGGGGCCTCCGGGTCACGACCTCGCGGGGTCCCGTCCTCGCGGGAAGGAGGCCGGCGGGCGGGCGGCTCTGGCCCGGGGGGGGGGGATTCCGGCCCCAGCAAGAGCAAAGACCCCGCGCGGATGGGGGTCTCAATCAGTCGATCAGGATAGATCTGGAAAGGGACCCTGGAGGTCTTCTAGTCTCTTGTTTTTCTGTACAATGCGGCACCTGGAACGTGTCCCAAGCCAGAAGCGGTGCAAGCCATGGCCCAGCAAACATGGCTGCGACTTGTGGCTAGACTTGAAAACAGCAACTTTAGGCAGTTTGAAGAAAGAATAAAACCTTATATAAGTTGTATAATAGGTCACCTCACACAAGCCAGGCCAAGGCGGTCACAGGTTTACCGCGACCTGTGAAAGCGAGATGAGATTTCGTGGCGGTTCCTGACCGAGAGGCCTGAGACAGGGCTGGGCGCCTTTGCCCCACGAACCGGACGTTGGTCCACCTAATGACCTCCCTGTCTGGGTTTCTTAGGAGATGCTGCCACCTCTGGAGCCAACCGCCAAGCCCTGGTCCAGCCCTGGTCCAGCTGTGGCTGCCTTCTCTGGAGGTCAGCACACCTTGCAACACAGACCCTCTCAAGGTGGGTGGGGGGATGTTGTGTGCCTAGGTGTGAAAGAGTCTGGGTGGCGTCTATCCCCCGGCCCTTAAGTCTTACATAACTCTTCTTAATTTTCATTTTTCCTATTTCTTTTTACCATTGGTAAGCCTCCCAGGGTCACCTTATCAGGGAAACGGGTGCCATTTAATTAATAAATACACGTGCAACCAGGTGATAAAGCCGCCTCCTTTCTATGTATGTATTTCTGTGTGTGTGTCTGTGTGTGTGTGTTTTGGACATTCCTTCAGGCTTAATCTGGGAAGAGGGTCTCCCCTGCAGACCTCATGCCTGCTGCCCAGGGGGTTGTGCCCTGAACCTTCCTGCCCTGCTCAAGACCCTCTTTTAACAAACAAGCAACCTTTCCCTCTCGGCCTTACCTTTCTGACAGCTGCCATTCATTAGATTTCCAGGAGCCCCAAATGTCACTTCCTGCTTTTGATGGATCACCGTCCCCGTTTCCTTCGCTGGGGGGCATTGGCTCTTTGAGTAATGGATGCCCGTGTTCCAGCCACTGTAGCTGGCAGCCTTTCGCAGCAGCTGGTGTTCAGGGCCTCTGGCCTCCTGCCTTTCTAAGCCAGGGGAACGGGACTAGACCTTTTCCTGAAATGGAAAATCCAGCCAAATGTCTGGACCCCTCCGATCCGCCCTGAAACCAGGGGGAGTGCATCATTCATTGAAAGCCATTTGCAAGCTGAGGTTGTTGGGTGTTTTTCATGGGTATAATATCATTCCTGGCTTCAGAGGAGACGCAACCTGCCTAACGCCAGATGGGCATTTAAATTGGGAAGAGATCCTTCCCCAGGTTCCCCCCCCCCCAACATTAAAAATGGTCTCTAGTTGACTGTTGGGCTCCAAGACAGACAGGGTGGCTTGTGAAAATCAAGGTTTATATTCAACTTGACGGGTGAATCTGCAAGCGGGTGTTTATTCCTTACACTACGATCGAAAACAGTGGTTTAAGCGTGACTTAAGAACTAGGTCAGTAAGATTTCTGGAAAGGGGAAGCATGCTCAAAGTAGGAAGACTAAAATGTCCGGTTGTGGGGTTGGATCCCACCACAGCCCACCAACTGCCCTGGGCAGTGAACATGGGCATTCAATTTTTTTTTTTGAAAGAAGGCATTATCTTAGAGTATGGTGTTTGCCATTCTTGGGTGGAAGAAAACACATTGCACAATTTCCACCAATGTCTGGGTGGTTGGAGGAGTAAAACAAACACCCAGGGACTCCAGACCAGCAGTCTTAAGACCAGGAGCCTAAACTCAGACAGGCCTCCTCCATGCTTGGGCCTTTGCAGAGGCTGCCGCGTGAGTGATCTTAATCAGCACTTGTATTTTTAGAGGAGAACTAAGAAGCCACTAACCACAAAAGCTGACTGGTGTCAACTTCCATTTTATTAAGTGCATTTTCACCATAAGCAGAAACTCTAATCTGGCAGAAAATCTGGCAATGTTACCAGCCAGCCTGGCTTGTACAACTGTGTCAAGGTAGTCTCTGTCCCCCTGAAGTGGGCAGAACCTGGTGGGCTCTGTCAGGTAAACTTGGCTCAAGCAGTCCCTCCTCTCCATCTGTCAACTGGCGGTGGGGGATTTTCTCCTCTGGGGGTGACTGAGGACTCCCCAAATATAAAAAGCTGCTCTGTGCGATAATTCACCCCCCCATGGTGGGTGGGTGGGTGGGAGTGAAGCTTTTCTCCGGGGGCAGATAAATGGAACTGTCCCTTTAAGCCTCTCTTTAAAAAAAGCAACAATGCAGCAGCAACCCAGATCTCTGATAGCTTCACAGATGGTTTAATTCAGGTGGGCTGTAGGTGGAGCCCTGCCACAAATATTCAAGCTGCTTGGCGCCCCACGTCTCCTCCAGAGGAGCCCACCATGCTTGGAGTGCAGAGGATGAACGGCATAAGGGGAGAATTGAGGGCAACGCAGCCCCCAACCCCACATCTCCATCCCTTGGAATGCCGGACGCCTCCACGTTGCCCGTCTCAGCTCTTTCGGAGTTCGGGTTGGTTTGCTGCAGCTCCCTGCGCAGAGGTTAAATGTCAGAACGGGGTGCAATTTAACCCGCAGTTCCATTAATGACAGTTTGTGTCCTTGCGGTCTTTTTTTTTTCCATAATGCAACCTGCTTTCCAGTCATTGTGGGAAAAATCCCTCCCCAGCACAAAGGAATCCATTTATTGCATTTTTTAGGGGGGCGGGGGGAGATGTCATTTTAGCCCAGCTTTGCTGCTGTGTTTCCAGCAAAGGCCAACCTCGAGGTTATAACTGGGTGTCTTTTCCTGCTCTCCCCAAATCACAGAACGGAACCCCTCATTCTGGGGCAAGTGGCCTCCTCCTTGCTGGAAGCACTGCAGAGCGGAAGGCGGAAACGAGCAGGACGGGCATTTTGCAGCTGAGAAGATGAGAAACTCAGTTAAACTGAAAAGAGAAAAGGGCGTCGGTGCGGTAAGCTAATTAATGGAAAGAAATTGTCCCCAAGGTGTAAGATTTGTCCCCTCTAATTCGTCAGCAAGGGAGAGTGTCTCTGCCTCCTCCTCCTCCTCCTCCTCCTCTCATTTTCTATGGCAAACCGAGCGCATGCATTGCATAACAGATTGTGAGATCTCTGTGACGGATGCAGCTCAAGGCGTGTCTCCGGGTGGACAAGTCATCTGTGATTAGCCGACTTCTCAAAACCTTGGCCCAGAGTAGGCAAATGAGAGGTGCATGGTTGAATTGGTGCATATTTACTCTAAGAAAAGCCCTGTATTATTTGGGCTTTACTTACACTAAGCTTTGTGTAGAGTAATGGCATTGACCCTGTGCCAAAGTGCTCTCTTGTCGCTGAAAAACACAACATCCACAAGACCTGGTCGCACTGAATTGTATTAGCAATTTGCAAAGCCCCGCACAGATCTGGCGTGAATGACAGGTGTAGCGCTTCACTCAAATTGCTGAGGAGGCGCTTTGAACGTCTTGCTAACCCATCTCCTCCCAACCACTGCAAGATGTCTCGTTTTAAGGAGGCCTGTTGGTAGCCATTGGCGCATGAGAAGCGACTGCAAATCTGGAGGCTGCAAGGGATGGAAGCGTTTCTAACCTTGACTGGTAAAAGATGCGCACTAGAGAATCCTAGCTGGACCCCTGGCCAGTCAGGAGATTGTCCAAATGTCTAGGGAGATTCTCGGCCATCCTGGTCTTGGTTGCCCCAAAGGTGCTTTTTCAGAAGGCAGCTGGACTTGCTTGGTTTTCCTTGAAGGCGTTTCGCTTCTCA